GTGGCTGGCGTGGGAGGCCCTGTGGTGCCTCCAGTCTCCCAGTTGCAGATGACATGGGTGTCCCCAGCGGAGTCGCAGGTCTGCAGGTGCCAGGGTGCCGAGGGGCAGTGCCACAAGGAGTTGGTTCCAGGCTCACACTTCAGCCAGGAGAGCCATGCGGGGCCTGAGCCCCATGCCTCTTCCAGGGCGGATGCCAGCTGGCCTCCAGCCCCACAACCCAGTTGCCGACACACCACAGCAGCTGTGTGGGCGCTGGTGCCGTTGGCRCACACGCTGCCCCACGTGCCGTTGTAGAAGACCTCCAGGCGACCGGCGCAGCTGCTCTCACCCACGAGTCGCATGTCTGTGAGCTCTGCAAGGGTCAACACAGGGGAGCCCAGCTCAGCTGAGGAGGGGCAGACACCAACAGCACCCCAGGCACTGTGAACACATGGTGGGGCAGAAAGAGCAGCACCCCTCAGAGGAGACCCCTGGGGTCTGTGGAGAGAAGGTGCTGTCTAGGCCGTAGCGGTTGGCCCAGGGAGTAGGGACGTGGGAGGGAAGACAGTGGTGAGGCTGACACCAAGGCCACTGCCAGGGCATCACAGCGGCCAGGCTTGGCGGGAACAGAGCTGACCTGAGCAGACGACTGCTGCACCGGTGGCCTGTCTGCAGCTGCCCACAGCTGGGGCCGGAGCTGGGCAGTCCCAGAGTGTTGGTTCGGTGCCCAGGCAGCCGCCAGCACCCAGCCACACAGGCCCTGAGCCCTGGCCGTAGTGGGCTGAGAGGGGGGTTGCCAGGGCCTTGCCACAGCCCAGTTGGCGACAGACAACGGCGGCGTCCCTGAGGTCCCAGCTGTCGTCGCAGACTCGGTTCCAGGCGCCCTGCACATAGAGCTCCACTCTGCCCGCACAGCGCRTGGGGCCACTTGCCAGCCGCACCCGCCGGCTCTCTGCAGTGAACGACAGCCCACGGAGGGGTGGCTGCTTGCCTGCCGAGTGTGCTCAAGTGTGCCCCGCAGCCCTTGCCGGCACACTCACCTGAGCACACAAGCACCACGTCCTGGGGTTGGCCGACCGGGGTGGCATTAAGCAGCGTGCTGTTGCACTGGGACAGGCGAGTCTCTGTGCCCGTGCACCGCAGCCCCATCAGCCTCACGGGGCTGGACRCTGGCCCTGTCACTGGAGCCGTATAGGCCTTTTGTGCCACGCCACAGCTGAGCTGTCGACACACCACGCTGGCACTGCTGGTGTCCCAGTGCTCTGCCAGGACTCGGGCCCAGGCTCCATCCAGGGAATCTTCCAGGCGCCCATCACAACGGCTCTCACCACCCACTAGACGCAGAGGTTCAGCACTACTTGGCCCTGCAGGCGGGAGAAATGCCGTGAGGTGGCAAAGGGTCTATCTCAGTGCACGCCCGCCCTAAGACCCCTATTAGTTTCAGGTCCATCAATCCCTTGGTTTACACTTGTGGCCAGGATACTGTGCAAGTGTCATGGTCAGGGTATCAGAGGAGAGCAAAGAACCCCTGCCAAAKGTAAAGACCCTCTGTGGAAGGTCTCCAGCAGCAACAGGGCTGATGGCAGCACCAAGAGTACCARGGAGYCTCACAGCATAGATGGGAACATCATGGGCCTRCTGCCCTCCTCCTGCCTGTGRTCTTGCCGGCCTATGACTTGTGTGAGCCYTCCCTCTGCCCTGACACGTGCTRCAGGAACACGTGCTTCTGCAGGGGCTCCCTGTGCCCCACAGCTCCTGCTGGCAGTGGTGGGAGAGGGCAACCCTACCACCTCTTTTGCTATTGGGTCCCCTCCCAGAAGCAGGCCCCAGTGGTTGATGCTATCTGTCCCACACTCACCTGAGCAGTTGACTGCAGCGGTGTTGCCTGGAGAACACGCGGGGATTCCCAGTGCTGTGGCAGGGCACGCTCCCAGGTGGGACTCCATCCCGCTGCAGTGAAAGGTGTCCCGCCACACTGGGCCACTCCCTGACCCAAAATAGCCTCCACGGGGCACAGAGGTGACAGACCCACAGCCAAGCTGGTGGCAGAGCACCTGGGCATCGTGCTCGTCCCAGCCAGTGTCACAGAGGGAGCGCCAGGTGCCCCGCACCTCCATCTCCACCCGCCCTGCACAGGCCGTGCTGCCGTTCACCAGCCTGAAGTCCGTGTAGGCTGGGAGAGAGAATGGGAGAGTTAGAAGATAGGCCTTTGTCTATCTCCATGGAGTGAGAGGGCATTCAGGAATGGTATCCCCTGCTTCCCCACACCCTCCTGCCTGCCCTGTCACAAGTCAGGCCTCAGTGTGTGTGCTCCACGTCTGCCCTGGGCAGCCTTGTTCCCTCTGCCGCCCTCCCTGTCCTTCCCTCAGCACACTCTGCCCCTCACCCTGTGCTCTTACGGGAGCAGATGATGCCGGTGTCATTGGCGTGGGTGCATCCCTGGTMATGGGGCAGGCTGCGGGCACAGGCTGACAGGAGGGATTCGTTGCCTGCACACTCAAAGCCCCCGTCCCAGATGGGCCCAGCTCCGGACCCAAAATGTGCCGCACTGGTGACTGCCAGTGCTGCACCACAGCCCAGCTCCTTGCAGATGACGTGGGCAGTGTTGAGGTCCATGTGTGTCTCACAGAGGGAGGCCCATTGTCGGCCCTGCCTGACCTCCACACGGCCCGAGCAGGTGCCGTCCCCACTGACAAGGCGCACAAATCCTGCCAGGAGAGAAAGGACAGGGTCAAATGATTCTCTGAAGGATGTGATGGTGGGTGATTGCTGGAACCTTAATTAGTTTTCCAGTTTTGGCACAGTCACCCAGGGAGTGGGTCAACCTGGGGTGACCCCAGGGCTCTTACCTTGGCAGATAACGCCAACATCCCAGTCGTGGGGGCCATTGTATGGACCCCATCCTGGGATAGTGCATTCCCATAGGACTGACTCATTGCCATGACAGTCAACCAGAGCCAGGTGAATGGGTCCAGACCCTTTCCCAAAGCGTGTTGAGATGTGAGCGCTTTTGGCAGAACCACAGCCCAGATGTTGACACACCACTTCAGCATCCTCCATGTCCCATGTGTCATCTGAGACCGTTCCCCACTGTCCCATCAGTTTCATCTCCACTCTTCCCTCACAGGGACCAGCTCCATTCACCAGCCTCAGCGCCACAGCATCTGCATCAGAGGTGCCCAGAGGAAAAGAGGTTCTTGCATGTTGACCCCAATCCTTCACTCTACCTGAGCTCAGGGAGGCCCCAGTGGGGAGTTTCACGGCCTTACCGACTTGGTTGTGAACCCCAATAATCAGGGAGTTGTGCCCCAACATGTTCACACAACCTCTCACCTGAGCATGTCACTCCAACATCTGTTTTGTGGCCACAGAAATGCTGACCCCAGCCGAAGTGTGGGCAGTTGTGCAGCACTGACTCTGTACCACGGCAGARGAAGGGATGTAGCCAGATCCGTCCAGTCCCGGAGCCAAAAGGGCTGTATGGGGAGGCCCTGGCCACAGTGCCACATCCCAGCTGCCTGCAGACCACAGAGGCTGCAGGGACACCCCAGTCGAAGTCATAGCTGCACACGGTGCCCCACTGGCCCTCATGCTTCACTTCCACACGTCCTGCACAGCGGCTGCCTCCGTCAACCAGACGCAGCTCCCCGGTGCCTGTGGGTGCCAACATGGGAGTGTAAAGGAAACACAGAGCCCCAGCACAGAGTGCCACGGGTAAAGAGTGTAGCCTGCCTTGACTTGCTGGCCCAGGTTAGTGTCTTCCATGACTGTCCACTGCCCTCAGGACCTCACTGCCTGCTCTAGGCCTGACCATTGGCCTCACTGTATGCTTGTGTGTGTGGAAAAGCCCCAAGGAATAGCAGAATACCAGTTGCAAAGAAAGGCAGGACCATATCCAGCTACTACATGCCCATCACTCGATGCATTGAGAACATGACCCAGGGCAAATCCTGCCACATGTGCTAAGCATTTGCCCCCCTCCAAAAAAAGTACAGAGGCTAATGTGTCCCAAGGGATGCCCAGGTGTTTGCTATTGTCCCTGCAAAGATAAGGCAGCTGGTCACACTTAGACTCATGGCTACCACCCCACCGCCAGTGGTCCCACTTTCGGCACAAGAGCAGGCAACTCCTACCCCATGGAGCCCACAGGCACTCACCACAGCAGAGCTGCATGCACAGCAGCAGTCCCAAGGCCCTGGCAAGGAGCAGGCTATCAGTGACCATCCTGTGCTTCTCCTGCCCTCTGGGACAGTCCGCAGCTCTCACTGCAGTCCTGGACYACCACCACTCCCGTAGTGGGGAGGGCAATATATAGGCAGACATGCAAGCCCCACTGCCAGGGGAGCCAATCAATGCAACAGGCACCTTTTGGGACGTTATCAGGAGGGTTATCTCCCATCTGACAGAKCCCCAACCTCCAATAAACTTCTCCATCCACGTGCATGCCCATATATGCGACTCGGATCCGCTTCTTGCATCGTGTCCGCCCCACCAGTGGGTGGGTTCTTGCCCAGCTCTCCCCGTGGRGGGGCTTGATGAGCTGAGCACAGGTTCTACATGGGTGCCTGCAGTATGTACAAAGCATATGGGGCCTGCATCCATGTGGTGCTGGGGCTGGCACAGTGTGCCAGGGAACCCAGTAAGAGACCAGTCCCGACATACACTGTCCTCTCCTCAGGGCAGCCTCTACTGCAGCTTCCTTCATGCTACAAGAATAACCCTGGACAAGGTCCCTTGTTACTGCAACCCTCCACTTGGAGCCAATCACTGAAACTTCCTCTGGAATAGAAACCTTCAGGGGTGGCACCAAGTCAGGACCATTCCAGGGCTCCATGGGACATTTTTAAGAAGGATTTGGTTCTTCCTGGTAGCCTGTGGGTGGATGGAGGTGGTGCCTATCTGCCTGCAAGTGTGTGCCCCACAGGTCGGAAGCCCCYATGGAGATTAAGCTTGCCCCTGGAGCTCTGAGGCAGGAAGGAGGTGGTTCCCCTGCTGAACATCAGCCCTTAGCGGGAATCTGTTGTGGCAGGCTTAATGCCACTGTTTGTCAGAGCACATGCACCTYCTGGGCCACTGAACAATCTATATCTCACCACCTGTTTCTCTATCTGCTCATCCAGCTGTATTTGACACTATGATAATGCAAGGCTTTGGTGTATCAGTATCTCTTTGCAGTGACACTGCCACAAAGARCTGGAGCAAATCCAGAGCAACCTAAGAGCTCTGGGGCCAAAGCTGAGGGGCACAAGAGACTGATGGTGCTGCCCTGGACTCTGCCACTCTTGGGAGGACTGCAGGCATGCCACAGGTTCACTCCACTCTCTGTGGCTACCCTCAACAGGCCGAGTTTTGCCTTTGTGATTTAACCTGCCCAGCATCTGCCTGAGTGCAGAGCAAGCGTGAGGGCATGAAGAACAGCTTCACAGAGCACACTAAAAGTTTGTACAGATGCTCAGGAGGTGAATTTACACCTCAAGAGGGCTCCATGGCTAAGCTGGCCTGAGCTCCAGTGCAAAAGGGCATGTTGAAGAGGAAACAGGGATGGGTTTTGCCAGCAAGGTTTCTCAGTTAGCTATGTTTAGGAAAAAGCCTCATGTCAGAGAAGAATCCAGTAGTGAGTGCATAAGGATCAAGAAAGGAGTGACTTGAAAAATGTTGGTGCCCCCCTGGGAGCCAGTGAACTACATTCCATGGCACCAAGGGAGTGGACAGCTGTCCCTGCAGGGTTTCCCTCCTCATCCATGAGTGGTCATTGAAATTGAAACCCAATTACTAGGTACAATAGTAAGGTACATGGAAACATCTGAAAGCTCTAAAGACTTTGGAAAGATACAGTGCTGTGCAGTCATTCTCGTGATCTGCAATGCAGCTGGCTGGGCAGGAGCAGGAGCAGGTRGTGAGGGATGAGCTGTTCAGTGGGACCTGCAGACGTGTGCTGGGGTAGGAGTGCAGTCATGTGCCCCATACTGCCCCACACCAGCACCTGGAGTGCCATGGTGACTTCCTCATGAGGGCTGGCAGGCAGAGGAAAACCACCTCCTTCCTATGTTAGTGCTGCCAGGGGCAAGGAGAGGTGCTGTGGGAGCTGGTGGGCTGTGTGACACACAGCTTTGGGGAGTACAGGCTGATCCTCCTGTCTGTCGGCCCCTGCGAGGAGCCAGAGTTGTCCCACACGCTTGTGGGGAGGCCCAGGGCAGGCTCACCTCCTGAGTGCCCTGGGATTTTCCATGAGCAAGCAGTGATCCCATGCCGAGGCTACATCTGTGGCCACAGAGGGGATTGTTTGACTAGTTTATGATTCACAGTACTGTCAGACCCCTCAAGGTGCTACAGTGCATACAGCCTTGCAGGTGAGCATAGGCCCAGACAGGCAGTAATGGAGAAATGCCCCCATCGCACAGCTATGCCCTTCTGCAGGCATGGTACAACCCCCCAAAGAACGTCTGTGACAGCAGCAATAATTGCATTCCTTGACTGCAGCCAGCTCCTGCTGTGTCTCTTCATTTAACCCAGGTGCTCAGTCTTTAAATAGAGCAAGGAAAAGAGGAGAACTGGTCAAACTACCCTAGATACCAACAGGAGACTGCAGGGCAATGAAGACTTAGATGAGGATACACTGTCCCTGCCCCATGGCATCTAGCCCTAGGGTCCCTGCACAGCCACAACCCTGCTGCTGTCCCCACTCCCTGCCCATAGGTTTCTCGACCTGCGGCTGCTGGGCCAGGGGCGACAGAGTGCATCTCAGTGCTGCTAACACTACCTTGCTGTACCTTGTGTCCCCGGGTGTGTCATATAAGGAAAGGTTGGAGAGATATGGGCCACTCCAGCAAAGAGAAACAAGTCCTGAGTGGGGACAGGGGGAACTTATTTATGAATCTAGATAACTGAAGGGAGGATGTGAAGAGAATGTGGCAGATTCTTTTCAGCAATGCCCAGGGACAGGGTGAGAAATAACAGCACAAACTGAAACACAGGAAGTTCTCTCCAAACAGCAGGGAAAAGTTCTTTCCTGTGAAGGTGACAGAACAGTGGATGAGGATGCCCTGAGAGCTTGTAAAGTGTTAATTGCTGGAGATGTTTCAAGGTCTGGAGTAATTTGAGAGCAATCATGGAGCTCTGGTGAAGTTAAGGTGCACAAGAGATCGGTGGCAATGCCCTTGACCTTGCTGGTCAACAGGACTGCTCAAGAAGGACTTTGGACACTTATGGTTTAACACTGCTCTGTGTGTTTGGTGTCACTGGCAGAGCCTCTTCCTCATTGTCACCTTTAGCCTCTCCAGCGTGAGTCAGGGTCCCCAGCAGGGCACGAAGCACAGTGTGCACCAAACACAAGAGCAGTCTGGAGGCACAAGAGAGGAGCTGATATCTGAGGGATGCCTGGCTGAGCTGGACAGAGCTCCAGTGAAAAAGGGTATGTCCAGGGGGAGGAAGTGAGGATGAGCTTTGCCAACAAGGTCTCCTCGGCCCCTTAGTTTAGGGAAAGGGCTCAAGCAGAAGTGAAGCATCCTGTAGCACATGAGGTCCAAGAAAGGGCTGACGTGAGAAACTGTTAGGACAGGCTGAAACGTATCTAACCGTGCAGAAGGAGGTGGTGAGGTGCTGGCTGTGTGGTGGGCCCAGCAGCCACGTTGCTGGGGCAGGAGCGCAGCAGCTACGCCCCGCGTTGTCCCAAACCGGCAGCCAGGCGACCACAGCCACTTCCTCGCGGGGGCTGACGTGCAGGGGGGGAGAAGCCACCTCCTTCCTGTCTCAGCTCTGCTGCTAGGAGTGAGCACAGCTGCCATGAGGGCTTGCGGGCTGTGGGGTGCACCTGCAGGCAGCTGGGCAGCATCTCCATGTGCCTGCAGGGCCCCGCAAAGCACCCTCGGAAGCCCTTTCTTTCCTGCATGAGCAGGGCTCTGGTGCTGAAGCAACTGCCCTGGCGTGGAGGAGAGGGCATGGCTGATTTACAGTCTACTCGGGCTCTGCAAGAAGCAGTAGGATGTTTGTCTCCCCTGTTTCATGAGCTTTGAGGCCCAGGGAAGGTGATGTGACCTGCTGGCACAAGTGATTTCTGCATGCAGCTCTCTGTCCGCTGCCAGCTCCCTCTTAGCCATATCCTGCAGCTTCCGTCCTAGCGGCTGTGCCCATGTTCTCTGCTTTCACTGCCCCAAGCTCTCTGGCTCCAGCAGCCCATCATTCACTTTCTGAACAAGGCTCCACAGCTGGAGAGTCCAGCTGCATCTCAGTCAGATCCTCCTTTGAGCATTATGGGGTGGAAGGTGGGACTCCCAGACAACCTCCCTGGATGCTTTGGGCATGGAGAGTGCTGTAGGGCACCCAGGAGCRATGGCAGGGAGGAATACAAAGACCACAGCATGCCAGGATTTCTGGGGCAGGACCAGGGCCTTTATTGGGTGTCAGAAGACTAACACAGGTAAATGTGGGGTTGAACACAGGTAAGTGCAGGTAAGTGCAGGGTTAAAAAAAGAGCGAGAGAAAGGACCATCTCACTAACTGTGGAATGTAGAAAACTACAGAAGCCTTCAGAAATACAAAAATCCCAGTGTTTGGATGAAATACTTAACTATATACATGTTATGAGCTAGATGTAAAGCCCTTTTTTTTCTGCCCCTCACAGCCCCAGCAGACTGAAAGGAGAAAATTGCCACACTCACCTGCACTCTTATCCATGGCTTCATCCTCTGCATGCAGTCACTTGGCCCCAACCCCTAACAGATCCACAAAGACCACGTGCCAGATCTTTTTGCACATGACAAGATTCAGGGGATGTCTCCCATCCTCCCCAGGAGCACTGATCAAATCCCTACCACGCATGCTAGAAATCATTACGATTGTGAAAAGGACCTCCCATTAAAGAGGGAAACCTCCTCCTGATCCTTCCTCCACTTCTGTCCAGTAGGACTCCCTGGTGAGAAGGCAATTGGGCCATAGGTCTTGGCTGGTCTTCTTCAAAGAAATAGCCTATCTTCAGACTGGGCTTTATTCTCTTGACTGCAGCCAGCTCCTGCTGTGTTTCTTCATTTAATCCACATGTGTTCAGTCTTTAAATAGAGCAAGGAAAGGAGAACAACTGGTCAAACTACCTTAGATACTGACTGCCGGAGCAGACCGCAAGGCAATGAAGACTTGGATGAGGATACACTGTCCCTGCCTCACAGCATCTGGCCCCGAGGTGCCTCCACGGCCACAGCCCTGCTGCCGTTCCCACTCACTGCCCATGGATTTCACTGCCCTGGGGCTGCAGGGAGAAGTGTGACAGAGAGCAGAAGGGGCTCAGAGCCACACAGCCCATGGGATTGGCCACATTGGCCTGAGATCATAGAGGCCTGGAGCTCTTGGTTAGCTCTAGCTCTGGGGCACACAAGTCGAGGGAGTGCAACTGTCCAGGATACCCCAGAGCCTCCTTGCTGTTGGAGTGAAAGGCATAGGCCATGTAAGGTCTAGGTGGCTCTGGGTCTATGTGGCCTGTGCCTGGCAAAAACAAGACAAAACAAAACAAAAAAAAACCAGCCAAACAAACAAACAAAAAAACCCCACCCAGACACTTCTGGTCAAGAACAGATGGAGAAGCCCAAGAAGGGACAATAGCAGAGCTTTTCCTTGGGGTCCTAGGGCAGTGGAGTGGAGATTGATCAGGGAAGTCCTGTATCACTTACCCCAGTGCCTGCAGCTGGCAGGCGGGATGCTTCAGTATCTGGCAGAGCTGCTGCACCCCAGCACCTCCAAGCTCATTATCACTCAGGTCCAGGCAGGTCAGGCTCTGGTTGACAAGGAGCAGAGCAGCCAAGTCCTCACAGCAAGCTCCCGTGAGACAACAGCTCCCTAATCTGTGTGACCAAAGCAAAGACAACARCAGCGGGGCTTTACTGACAGATTGTTAATACAGGAGAGAGAAATCAAAAGGCTGCACTTGGGAATGTGGAAATGGCTGGGCAGGGACAGAAATAGCACAGTCAGGGTCACTCTCCTGTCCCCAGAGAAACCGCAAGTGCTGCCTTCCCTACCCTTTACCTGGCACATCCAAGCTTGGGTCAGAGAGAGCTGAGTGCTAATCATGCAAGGCCCTGCTTGTTCCACTGGATCTAGGCACCTTTAGCAGCCCTCCCCATCGCTGCAGCACTATCTTGCTGCTCTCTAGAAAAGCAGGCAGAACAGGCCAGGCTGTTGCCCTGGGAGTCTCATGTTCAGTTATTGCTATCCCCAAGCTCGCCTTGGCTCCCAGCATCAGCTGGGAAACAAGGCCTTCCCTAGAGCCTGCTATGGCACAAACCATGGCCATGTGAGGTACCATCATCCACAGAGTAGGAAATGCAAACTCGTGGACTTGTGATGGCTGAGTTCCAGAGGAAAATCCCAAGATTCTTCGGTATTTCAATTCTTTTTCTTTTGGCCCCACTCATCACTGTAATAGGTCAGCTGGTCTCGTGGGGCACTTCCCAGTCCTGTGGCCCTTACCGCAGTGTCTGCAGCTGGCAGGTGGGATGCTGAAGCCCTTCACACAGCAGCTGCACACCAGCATCTCTCAGCTCATCATTACAGGACAAATCCAGCTCCATCAGGTGCCGGCTGGTGCGAAGCACTGTGGCAAGATCCTCACAGCAGGCACTGGTGAGGTGGAAGTACCATAGCCTGAAGACAAAAAGTGCAGAAAAGTCCTTTGAGTGCTCATCACAGCTCTTCCAAGCTGAGGTACTGTGGGCCAATCCCATTCCTGGCCACCCAGCAACAGTCAGGAGGAGAAGCACTACACAATATGACCCTCACAAACACCCTGCACCTTAGCGGAGGACAGTCTCCATACTACTGCTGCTATGGGAAGTTCCTGCCTTTAAGCTATTTGCCCTGAGCACCTCTATGTTGGGAAGAGTGGAAACTCACAGTGCATCCATGGGAAAGTGGAGCAAAGGAATGATCATGCCCTGGAATGACTTTTTCCCATCTATCCCAATTCCCATCCACCCAGCATCCTTTGGCCCTTGAATAGCGTGGCAGGAGATACCAGGGGGCCTGGCATCACTCACCGCAGGACCCGCAGCTGGCAGGTGGGCTGCTGCAGCCCCTTGCACAGCAGCCGCACGCCTTTGTCACCCAGCTTGTTGTCACCCAGCTCCAGCTGGTCCAGGCTGGGGTGCAAGGCCAGCAGCCTGGCAAGGTCCTCGCAGCAGTCCTCCATGAGGCCGCACCACTGCAGCCTGTGGGACAGAGCAGTAGAGAACCTTGAGCTCATCACACCCCTTTGTGCTGTAGGTCATGTCTTCCTTCCCCATGGACCAATTTTACCTGAGCGTCTTTACTTGGCTGGTTGTGTTCCTCAATGCCTGGCAGAGCAGGGAGATAGGGGATGGTTGCTCCTCCACCGGCTGTTGTTCCCTGCAAATCAGGGAGCTGATATTCTCTCCAGCTCACCTGGCAGGAGGGATCTGCTTCACCCTCCCTGCCAGAATGGGGAAGGAGAGACACAGTCTTTGCCTGCCACCCAGCAAACAGGAGTTGGTGCGGGTCTCACCTTAGACTTCAGTGCATGAGCATCCCAAAGTGGGGCTCACTACTCTCAGAATGTCTCCTCTGGAGGGACATCCACAGTTTTGGAGCGAATTCAGCCACCTCTGGAGATGCAATAGGAGGGACTGTGTTCATGTTACTGCTTGAGTTAACTTACTCTCCAACACAGCAGAGAATGTCAGTGCTTTATGCTTGGGTGGGGTGCACCCCACCCAGCCTTTTGGGGCTTGGCTTTATGCACAAATATCAGAGCCCCCTGAGAGTGCAGTTCACTGCTACAGGAGCCACACTGGTCATGCTTGGTCCTGCTGAGTGGTATGGACAGGACCAAAGGGCCTGCGGAGAAGATGCAGCCTTGGAGCAATGGGCTCCTCTAGCCCTGAGAAGAGGAGACTGCACTGTAACATCTGGGCAGTTGAGCTGAAGATGCTGCATCTGTTTAGAACCTCATGTATGCAACAAGCAAGAGAAGCCTTCACAACCTTAATTCTCCTACAGTTATTCTAAATAAAATCATCTGCTGAGGACCTGAGTGTAACTGCTAGTGGAAAGAACAGTTTACATGAGAGGCAGCGGGTTGCAAATGCCTTTAAAAGCATCCTTTCTGGTGGAGGATGCATAACATAGCACTTGTTCATTAAGGTTTTAGCATGGTAAATATTCCTATTATTTTTGGCTACTTAAGAGGGAGGGAGGGATTGGAGGCACACTTACCAATTTAATGCTGGTGCAGAGCCTGGAACTAACTCTTCCTCATAATTGTGATGTTCAAAGGAGCACCCTTTGAAGGTCACAGAGTCAAGTCCATTCCAATGTTTGATACAGAACGAAAGTGCCATTTGGTCGTATTGGGTCAGCCTCATGTCATGAAAGTCTATGGCAGTGAAACAATTCAAGGCACGCTGCACAAAGTCTTCTTCATAAATCTCAAACAAACAGTGAAAAACTGCCAGATCCTTAATCTTCATTGTCCCTTTGCTCGTAGATGAAATTCCTCTAGGCCATGTCTGAATTGATCTCAGCATATCTTCCTTAAATCTTGGTGAAAGTCTACACCCAATTTGTTGCTTCATGTATTCTATAGCTTTTCCATTTATCAGACCAAATAAGAAAGTCACTGTTAACAACAAATCCTTTCTAGATGTTCTACAGTTTTCCAGTAATACTTTTATGTCCTTCACGTAAGTCCCTGAGTCACCTCCTGTCTCCTTCTCATTCTCCAGGACATAAAACATTGCAGCAAAGAACTCCTGGAGGTGCAGGTGAATGAAGCTGTAGACATTCCCRTGGTCTGTGCCTTTTTTCAAAATGTTCTCATTGAGAAAGAGAGAGAGAAGCTCTGGCTGATCTAAGCCCCGCTCCTTGATTTCCTTTTCCTCAAACAGCACCTTGTGCATCCACATCCCATCAGCAGCCAAGCAGCAAAGCCTGCGCAGGAACTGCTGCAGGTCCTGCTTGCCCTCACCTGCTCTGCATTTCAGTAATCTGGAAAGGTAAAACATATACATTCCCGTGTTTGTTTTAGAGCTCCTGGTAAGATTTTTGTTCTTGTAAAGTTCTTGTTCCAGAAGAGTACAGACAGTCCAACTCATGATGGGGACAAAGCACATAGCAAAGATTGTTTTGTTTCCTTTTACAAACTTGAAGGCCGTATCTGCTTTATGATCAGTGTCAAAAAACCTGTGGAAATATTCATCCCTTGCACCTGCTGAGAAGCCCACTATTTCTGCATAGCACTTGTTCTGTAAGTACCGCCCCAGATTCTGAAGGGCTGTAGGCCTTGTAGTGATCATCAAGGAGGATTCAGGGAGAATGATTTTCTTAAATAAACTCATCAGAGTGGTTTCCAGTGGCTTCTTTTCCCTGGGGTTAGAGCTTAGGTCATTTTCTGGCTGTGGCAAAGAAAATCTCAGGTAGTCTAACCCATCTATAACAAACAGGATCTTTTTTGGGCTATCCAAAATCTTTCTAATTGGCGTACTTCTATGGGGAGAGCAATTTGAAATCAAGTCCACCACACTCACTTCTTCAGTGGGGCTAATTTCTTTACAATTGAGGTAGAAAACATAGTCAAACTGTGTATAAAGGACTCCTTCTGCCCACCCTACCATAATCTTCCTCACTGTCATTGTCTTTCCCATCCCTGCAGCTCCCACCAGCACAACTGTGAGTGGCGCTTGTCCTTCTTCATCAGATTGAAACAGCTGTGCCACAGTAACAGCAATGTTAGCTTGCTCATCGCTGGTGTCTGTATGTTTCTGACTCGCACTGATGGTTTCCTGTTCTCCTTTCCTACTGGTCCAAGGCTTCGTAACAATTGTCAGGTTGGTGTAGCGGCTACTTACAGTCAAGTTATCACCAAGACAAGCATCTACCTCTTTATATTGAAGGAACTCCTTTATCATGTGTGCTCTGTATTTCTGCTTGTACTCTAAACCAACAAGAAACAAAAATCAATTCCAATAAAGCCAGATTTCTTAGGAGCTCCTCCTCATCCTCTCACAGCACTCCAATGCTATATAACATCTGCTTTGCACTGTTAGAGAGAGTTCCCAAAACTAGTGGAGCCAACCTCAGGACATAGACATCTCTAGCCTTTTGAGAAGCAATGTGGGATAACCAGCTGCCCCTTAGGAGCTTGTATCCTCCATGTCACCCATCACACTTTCTTCTTTCAGGCTCTCCCAGGATCATCCCCAAGATGTCCCTTGTATCCTCCTGGTAGGTAGAGATCTGTAAACCCTGGTCTCATGGCTGCAATAACTGTTTAACTGTGCCCTGTGTCTGTTTAAATAGCCCAAACCTGAACTGAACCCTCAACTGAACCAAGAACCGCCCATGAGTATTACCACATGAGTGTAGCACAGCCMCCTGGAGATGGGGAGGCTCGGTGTCAGCTATTTCCTGAAGGGTTTAGGAAATGCTGCAGTTCAACATATGTGGTAAATATTCAGGTGGATTTGGGGGTCAAGGGGACTCATTCATGTGGCTGGCTGTGTCAACAAAGCGTTTCAGCCTCGCAATGACTTACAGGTCTCTTGGGCCTCCTCTAAGTTATGGCAACAGCACCCAACCAAGGGCAGGGGACTTTCCAGCACCTCACTCCACCCCAACACTGCCCCTGCTTCTGATATCCCAGAGACCTCTGCCAGGGCAGGGATGAGGATGGCAAGCACCTGCCCACGGTCACTTCATAGCACCATTGTCCTGGCCCTGCCAAGTGGGCTGCAAGCCTTCTATGGAGCAAGGGAAATCTCCACACAAAATAGGAAGCCTGGCAGGGCTTTAATGGGAAGAGCAAGAGATGTCACTACTAACCTCCCATGCTACCAGGATCACAGTGGGACATATTCACATTTCCAGTCTGCTTTTTTACTGACTTCCACCAATCTCCAGGAATATTCAACATTTAAGAAAATTAAACTTTAATCCAGGTTCCTACCTTTGACTGACTCCTCTTGAATTTTATCAGCAAGGTCTCTCCTGTTTATCTCTTCAAACACATCAGTTCCTACCTCTACTGCAATGTCTTCTCCATAGTGCTCTTTCATGCAGCTGACAAGTGCACAAGCCTGGCTTGCTTTCTCCAGTGAATTCCTGGGGATATTCCATCTTGCTTTGTAACTAGTGTTTGATAATTTATCCTTAAACTGTAGAAAATCTTCAAATGCCAGATCTTGTAGTGCTTCTAAGAGGACATCTATTGCATGGTTCTCTTCTGCCATCACGGATGGGAAAAGTCACCTGAAAACATCAAAGAGCAAACTTTCTCCTACTACCATCACATGGCATCCCTGGGACACACAAACACAAGCCAGCAAAAGCCATCAAATATGATTTTTAGGACTCACACAGTTTCATACAAGGCAAGATATATAAAGATGGGGTTACAATAACACAGGTTCTGCCCAGGTGGCAGAGTAGAAGGATCAAGCTGCCCAGCACCTCCCCACATCCGACTTTGTGGGCAGTTTGCTTTTTAGGTATGAACTGCACAGCCACGGGGACAGCAGGGCCACCAGGGACCCGCCTGGCCGGCTGCCAGCACCACGCGGCCCCGGCCCCGGTGCCCAAGTGCCCCCAGACATGGCGGCCACGTGGCCGCACGCTCACCCTGCAGCGCTCGTCATCGGCGGTGCAGGAGGAGCTGCTCAACAGACCAGTTCACCGCACGAGCAGCGTTTGAGTTTTGAAATGAAGCTGCACATCCGGCCCACCCTTCCTCCTTCCTCTTTGGCTGGACGCCAGGCTCAGCTTCTCCGTACGGATGAGYTCTCTGTGCCAGGGTCCTCCTTGCCAGCCCCCAGCAATCTACGGCACAGTGGCCAGAGGGAATCTAGGCTGGGACAATTTCAAATATCCTCAAGCATGCGGATTCCCAGCCCCTTGTTCCAAAGTTTGGATACTCCCATAGGTATTTTTCTTTTTATATATAACCAGAATTTTCCTTCATCAAGTCAGTGTTTCCCCTTGCTCTATCACAGCACGTTTCGCAGAGGTGTCTAGCTCCATTTTCTCGCTATTCCCTATTTTAAAAGAAATTTAAGAAATGCAAAACAAATTTGTCTTTAGCAGACTACCATCTAGTGGCTCAGAAGTGTACTAAGAAAATCCAGCTGAAATTAGATTCAGGTGAACTCAGAAAAAGCAAGAAGAAAAAGCTGCAGAAGCCAGGGGAGGGATTAACATTAATGTCTGCTGCAGTGCTCACACGAGACCGATCTCCAAGGGGACTGATTGTAGGGAATAGAAAGCTAAAATTAGACGCTCACTAAAGCAGAGTAAGATGCGGAAATTAAAATTAGCTGCTGTAGCTGCAGGAAGCAATGGGGAATTAGAATGGGAGCTGTTATTACTGGGATGGTATGTATGAAAGGGGAAGGAAAGAGGTGCAAGGAACAGCAGCATATGCCAGGACCACCATGCTGGGATGGAAAAGCATTTAAACAAGATCCACTACATCTCTTTAAGTACATTGACCATATTCATAATGGAATAAAATACTGGAAGAGTGGTGGGAACAAAGCGGGTGGAAATCACAGGATCACAGAATCACAGAATGGTTAAGGTTGGAAGGGACCTCTAGAGATCATCTAGTCCAACCTTCCTGCTCAAGCAGGCACACCTAGAGSATGTGGCACAGGGTGGCATCCAGGCAGGTTTTGAAGACCTCCAGAGAAGGAGACTCCACAACCTCCCTGGGCAGCCTGTTCCACTGTTCTGTCACCCTAACAGTAAAGAAGTTCTTCCTCACCTGGAGATGGAACTTCCTGTGTTTCAGCTTATGCCCATTTCCCCTTGTCCTATCGCTGGCCACCAATGAGAAGAGCTTGTCCCCTTCTTCCCTGCATTCTCTGTTCATGAACTTATACATGTTAATCATATCCCCTCTCAGCCTTCTCTTCTCTAGAGAAAACAGGCCCAACTCACTCAGACTCTCCTCATATGAGAGATGTTCCATTCCGTTAATCATTTTAGTTGCTGTCCGCTCAACCCTCTCTAGGAGCTCCACGTCCCTCTTATACTGGGGAGCCCAGAACTGCACACAGTACTCCAGGTGCGGCCTCACCAGAGCTGAGTAGAGGGGCAGAATCACCTCCCTTGACCTGCTGGCAACACTCCTCCTGACGCAGGCCAGGATCCCATTGGCCTTCTTGGCCACGAGGGCACACTGCTGACTCATGGTTAACCTGGTGTCAACCAGGACTCCCAGGTCCCTCTCTGTGGAGCTGCTTTCTAGCAGGTCGACCTGCTTTCTAGCAGGTCAACCTCTAATCTGTACTGATGCCTGGGGTTATTCCTCCCCAGGTGCAGGACCCTGCACTTGTCCTTATTGAACCTCATGAGGTTCCTCTCTGCACAACTCACCAGCCTGTCCAGGTCCCTCTGGATGGCAGCACAACCCTCTGGAGTGTCAGCCACTCCACCCAGCTTGGTGTCATCTGCAAACTTGCTCAGGGTGCCCTCGTTCAAGTCATTGATGAACAAATTGAACAGCACCGGGCCCAGCACTGACCCCTGGGGGACACCACTGGCCACAGGCCTCCAACTGGACTCGGCCCCATTTATCACCACCCTCTGAGCTCTGCCGTCCAGCCAGCCCTCGATCCACCCCACCGTGCACTCTTCTAGTCCACTCTCCCGGAGCTTCATATGAGGACAGTATGGGAGACGGTGTCGAAAGCCTTGCTGAAGTCAAGGTAGACAACATCCACGGCTCTCCCCTTGTCCAGCTGGCCAGTCATCCCATCATAGAAGGCTATGAGGTTCGTCAGACATGACTTCCCCTTGGTGAATCCATGCTGACTGCTCCTCAACACCTTCTCCTTCATATGCCTGGAGATTCTCTCTAGGATGAACTGCTCCATCACCTTTCCAGGGACAGAGGTGAGGCTGACCGGCCTGTAATTGCCCRGCTCCTCCCTCTTGCCCTTTTYGAAGACTGGAGCGACGTTGGCTCTCTTCCAGTCCTTGGGCACATCCCCTGCTCTCCAGGACCTCTCGAAGATGATGGAGAGAGGCTGAGCAATAACCTCGGCAATTCCCTCAGCACTCTTGGGTGCATCCCATCTGGGCCCATAGATTTTTGAGTGGCCAGYTTGTCTAAGTGATCCGTAACCCAATCCTTCTCAACCYGCRGAAGGTCTTCCTTTAGCTCATTTATGTCTCTTCCACTTGAGCCCTGCAGATCGTGGCGGGTTGCCTTAGCAGTAAAGACAGAGGCAAAGAAGGCATTTAGTAACTCTGCCTTCTCAGCATCCGCTGTCACCAAGACTCCCTCCCCATTCAGCAGTGCACTAACATTTTCCCTCGTCTTCCTCTTGCTGTTGACATACTTATAGAAATCCTTCCTGTTGTCYCCGACATACCTCACCAAATCCTGTGATGAAAGATGAAGAAAACTGAGGATTAATTCTACAAGCTCAGAAATACAGTGGCATGCTAAAACACACAGGAAGACTGAAGACAAAGCTCAGAGACGGTTTAAGACGCAAAGAGAAGGGCTGACTCAATTTAATAGCTGCAGTTTGAGTCACAGGAGGGTTTGCAGCATCCTTGCTGGATTCATAATAACCTGGGATTTGCAGACAATCAAAGAAGAAGGGGAATAGCTATCCACAGGCCAGTAAACACGGCATTACCATTGCTAACCAGGCCAAAAGTTTTCTATTAAGATAACTATAAGATATTAAGATAACTATACTAAGATAAACATATATATTAAAATAAACATACAGGCTTCTCTGGTCAGATTTTGCCTGTCTGGAGCTTTATTTTCCTTGTGTTTTGCATGTTTACTGGAGTAAACAGTAATTCCTACTTTTTTTTTTCATGAATCTACCCTCTGGCCAGCTGTTGTCTCCTTCAGTTTGGTCTAACAATATAGGATCCTAGAATAAAAATTGTTACAGGCTCTCTCAAAGATTTGTTGAGGCTCTCTCAAAGGAGCCTCAAGAATTACAGCTTTTTATATCCAGATTCACCCAGGCTGGGGAATCACAGTTAAAGCTTGGAAAAAAATGCTCTAAAATAATAACCTAATGACTTTGGTGGTTGAGTGGCAGATTTGCTGAATTCAGTCTCTTAAGCCAGTGTGTAAATGTAGCAGCACTGAAGTGCCGGGGCGSGGGACAAGAAATCATAGAAGGAAAGACAAGAGAAGCTTTGAAACCAAGGGGAAGCCAAGTACTATCGCTGTTGTCAGTGCTAAAGGGGTGAGTGTGGCAGTAATATCAGGTTTTCTAACAACAAAACAGTTATACATGGAATTTCACTCATGTTAAAGGCAAATATAGATAGTTGTGTGAGGAATGGGAAGCATCCCATCACTGGCAATACATCACAGGGAGATAGCTGGGAAAACTTGTAAAAAAAAGGGCCTAAGGAAAATATTGTTTTGCACCTCTCAATACAGCCTGCTGCATGGTTAATTGCATTTGCATATATGCTTTTTTAATTATGATAATCATAATATTACTGTGGAGTTTAAATGCTTATGAGTAAATATGATGATTACAGAGCTAATGAAATGCTAGTGATTACATAAACTTTGAATAAGAATTAACAATACTGCAAATATAGTTTTGACATGAGGAGAGATGTTAGAAAAGCCTTTTCTGGGTAAGTGMACATGCACAGGCACAGAAAATACCTTGCAAATGTGGAGGGAGAAGCAATTACTGAGAAACAGAGGCCAAAGAGGTTGCATTTTCACTCTAAGAAATGCAGAAATTCTCTTTGTTGGACCTGTAGCCAAGCAGAGCTTCAGATGTTGTGGCTGCAGAGCTGCTTTGGCTCCTGGCACAAGGTGCTTCAGCGCGCTTTCCTTGGAGACATGGTGGTAAGGGAGATGGCTGCTTCCCAAATAGATGCAGGGGCTCACTGCAGCATCGCTTTTCCCTCCCTCTGCTGGCCCTTGATGTCTCCTGACRGAGGCTCTAGGAAAAGAGATGCTCCGCTGGGGCAGCTGGCGCTGGATGCCAAGAAGCCTGGTGCACTGAGACACAAGAATAGGATACAAGGAGGCAGCTGGCCAGCTCATCGGTGAGTGTGGTCCTGCACCAGAGTGTCCTGAGGGGTGCAAAGCACCTGCAGGGTGACAGTGAAAGACCCTCTGTCACACAAACACCATGGAGCTTGCACCTCTGTCCCACCGCCTGCCAGTGCCATACTCACTGCTGTGCTGGCATAGCTGGTACTGAGGGAGATGAGCCTTGCTGGGATCGAGGGGA